TAATTTTTGGATTCTTTTTCATTTGATATTTTTGCTATTAATTTACTCCCATCGCTATAAAGCTTAAAGTTCTCAAATTACAATTGCATTTATTTCTCTTTGTAATTTTCGGAATCTTTTTCATTTGATATTTTTGCTATTAATTTACTGCCATCACCATAAAGCTTATAGGAATAATTATTTAAGACATTTGGAAGATTGTTTATGTAGATTATAAACAGCATTTGTCCGAGCATACTTCCTTGTGGAACCCCACTGGTGACATTGGCCCAATTTGTAATGCTGTCTCCAAGCACAACACATTGCTGCCTGTTTTCTAGAAAGTTTAATACTTTAATAATTTTCCATTTATACCATATGCTTGTAGTTTTTGAGAAAGTCTTAGATGTAGCACTTTGTTAAATCCCTTGACAAAATCTAAGAAAACTACATCAGACCACTGTTTTTTTGAGAATATTGTCGTGACTTTATCTAATGTGTTGGAATCCTTATATTTGAAAATCAGTGTTGGAATCCTTATATTTGCTGATGTATGATTCTCAAAATGTGGTACCATTACTTCATTTGATTCCTCTACAAATATAGCTTTAAAATAATTAAGAATATTGCTAATGGCTGTTCTAGAGTTTGATACTGAGCCATCGGGATTAATTATATTGCTTATTGACTTTGATGTTGTTTGCTTCAGTTTCACATAACCATATAAATTCTTTTTGTTTAAATTATCATGTACAACATATTTTTGATAATGTAATATAGATTTTTTTAATACTCTTTTTACTTCTTTTCACGCTGCTTTATAATTGTTTACGAGGGATATAATTTTTGAATGAGTTTGCTGTACTAATATCTGATGATAATTAACAGTATTCTGGCATTGTAAAAAATTTATGTTCAGTTAAACACAATTTAATAAAACAACAGTTCAATTAACCAACATGGTTCTATTATCATAAAATGACTTTCTCTTATATTTTTTTAAAACTATTCTAACCCTTACTTCCTCTCTACCCTAAGCACTACCAATATTTGCATAATTATAATGAACATGGATAAGTGGTTAATATAGCTGAAATAAAATAGTTATTCAAAGGTTGATCAGCATTGATAATAAATAATAATATAATTTTTTAGATTATGCAGTAGGTATAAAAGTAAGAATTATACTTTAGTTTTAAATCTTATATTTAATTTCTTTTAATAAAACTTTATTTTGCTATTATTGTTTCAAACAATAAAAGCATAATTTAGTTTTCAAATACGGAAAACATATTTTTATTGATCTAAAAGCAATGCTTTTTTCTCCAATCATAAACTTGTGGTATATCTTTTTATTCAGATAGTAAATAAAATGTTAACAGAGGATTTTTATTTCAAATGATTGTTATCGTTACAAACCATGTATAATGCACAAATCAAAAACATTCAGTATTTTGGATAATTTAGTATAATTTTGTTGTAAATAAAATAATAATAATTTTACCAGCCCTATCTCCGTTTTTTTTTTTTTTTTTTTTTTAATTTTTGGAAATCAAACTATTATTTTTTTTTAAAAAATGGCTGGTCATTGATTGTTAACTGCCCATTATTTTAAATGCTGTAGTCATTAAGTGAATTAAAAATTGATGAAAATTGTATACAAAATACATAGGTATGTTTAATAACTGTAGTCTTTTTAATTAGCTTTAACTATGGATATATTTTATTGTATTTCAGCTCATTGCAGTCGAAATAGTAACAACACAATTGTCCCTGATTATATATCATCATCACAAACTAAATATATAAATGAGTTAGTTTCACCAGGATTTCGTATAAATGTTCCTGAAGCTAGATACAATTTAGAAGGTAAGCCGTGATAAAACTGGTTGTCAATTTTTAACAATTTAATATACAAAATTTGTAGAAATGTATTTTGTTTAAGTTTTTCAGTTTTATTTTTATAAAAAAGAGTTACAAATGGTAGTACGAAAAAGTGAATGTGGATTTTCATGCAAAAAAATCTGGGACGGGTATGGTGTCTGGTCAAAAGATGGAAGTACATGGAAACCTTACAAAAAGTTAGCAAGTACAAAGATAATTATTGGATTTTTGTTTGAAAATTTATAATAAGTTTTATTTTAATAGAAGTCATTTATTACTTTGGTATTTGATGTAGTAAATTCTCATGATTTTCACGATTAAGGTGCTTCACTTAAGGAGAAAAAAGAAAAACAACGTCAAAAATGGAATACTTTGTGGATATATGGAGACTCAATCAGCTACTATTTTCACTATAGATTACAGAAAACACATCTTTGCAAAAAGGTTTTCAACATTTGTGGAAACACGTATAATTGGATTTATCCAAAAACTCTTTATGAAATGGTAAACATGTTATTTATTAGCTATACTTGATGTATTATGAGTAAACCATTTGCAAAATAAATGCCTGCCAAAACAAATTTACAATATAATACAATGCATCAACAAAGTGTGTTCATATAAAAATAATCACATTTTTAGCGCCATTTTTGTGAAGACTTTGAAGTTGATGTGGGAAAAGTTCGTAAATTCTTCCGCGATGTTATTTTAAATAAGAAAATGGACAAAGATAGTGTGTTGATATTTAACCTTGGTGCACATTTTGTTAAGGTATGATCTTGATTTAAATGTATCAAATTTTTTAATACATTTTAATCATTTAGAGTAATCAATTTTATGAAATAATGTTTTTATTTTTGTAATCAATCAAGTATTTGAAGTCAATTTTACAGGACTCACTAATTCCTATGAATCTGCTGCATTCTTTTTTCTTTTTTTCAACTGATTCACTCCAAACAAGGCTGCAGCAACTATTATTAAGTTGGAAATTACTAGATAAGAATAGTGTAAAGAGCAAGTAAACGGTTGACAAAAGACTTAAAAAGTTGAAGGTTATACAAGTTAGGAAAACATAAAGATGGGAGAGATTTCCAAAGCATTAAAGTGCAGGGAAAAACTAGATAAATGAAATTTTTAGAGCATGTAGGAACAGGTATAGTAAAAAGATGCGATTTCGCAAAATGATGAATCAAGGAAGAATGAGTTTTACTTGATAAAATTAAAGATAATAGCATCTTTGAGTAGTGACCATGATATTATTACATTAGTATTTGTAGAAAAGAGAAAGAAATTAAACTTTATGACGATGTGAGAACTGGAGTTGGTATTTTACTAAGGCCGGGTTAAATAAAAATATAGCCAGTACCTGGGATGCATAAACATTTATTTATCCTAAAATATATTATTTTTATTCAAAGTGTTATATTTTGTATATATATGCATACATAAACATCATTATGATCAAAATGTTCTTCATAATCATCATAACCATCATCATCATGATTATCATCAATAAAAACAAAACTTGTTCTTGTTGGCTTCTTATTCAACAAGTTGCATCCTTTTACTATAAATGTCCCTTCATGTTATAAAAACTTTTATCAATTCAATTTTTTTCTTTGCACATCAAAAAAACTTTGCACATCAAAAAAACCATTTTCATGTTTTCCTTTTTTATACAATCTACAACTTTTTAAGTTTTTAGTTAACTGTTTCCTAGCTTTTTAAGATATTCTTTATTTTAAAGTAACTTATAACTTAATAGTGGTTGCTTGCAACCTTGTTGGAAGTAAATTAGAGTTTAAAAAAATATAAATAAATGTCAGTATTTATTAATTAGTAAATGTAAGTTAAATTTATAATATATTAGGTATTATAAATTTTTTTCTAGCCTCGGCTATCAACCCCTGCTAAATCTTATAATTTTGCTGGTTGGGTTGGCTCTATATAGAAACTTGAGCCTCTGTCACACTGTTGTAAGGTTGGATCTCTTTTTTCTATTTACAAATACTACCATTGTTATTCTATATTTAACTATCATCTTTTATTCCACCCTACAAAAACACAGTTTTGTGTGAATCGTTTTTTAGCAAAATTACATTCTTTTACTATTTTTTGATGCTCAAAAAAACTTTACCTCGGTTTATTCCTTAAGAATCAGCGATTTAAAATTCTCTTTTCTCTTCATATTTTCCTTACTCATACATTTTACAGTTTTAGTAAAATGCATGAGCTAGGAATTTTTTTACAAAACTTTAATACAGAAAGAAAGTTATTTTTCATCACAATTCCCAAATGAGTAATTCTATAAATTCTTTGAACATTGATAAGTTGAGAGCTGTTGTCTATACTTTCAAAACTACACAACAAGTGCTTATCAGAGTTTTTCTTTCCCAGCTTGCTAGAAAGCGTCATCTGTTATTCCTATTTTCAAAAACTCTGGAGATAGATCAGACTCATCTATCATCCCATTAGTCTTAATATTATCATAAGTAAGGTTTTTGAGTCTTTAATTAACAAATTGAAAAATCTGTAATCTAATAACTTACCTTCTGATCAGATGTAGAGAGGTTAAGGCTATCGTTCTTGACATTTCTAAAGCTTTTGATAAAGTTTGGCATGCTGGTCTTCTCCATAAGCTATCTTTTATAGTGTATCAGGTAATATCTTTAAGGTTATTGAATACTGTCTTACCAATTGTAGTATAAAAGTTGGACAGCACTATTATTCATATCCTATAACTTTTTTGGTTCCTCAAGGTTCTATCCTAGGCCCTATTCTCTTTCTAATTTACATTAATGTTCTTTCAGATATTCTCTCATCTAAGATGACATTGTTTGCTGATGAATATATCATTTATTCTTGTCTATATAAGAAGCCAATACTCTCTGATTGTGTGGAGGGGAAATTTTAGCTTAGAAAGGATCTCACTTCTGCAACAGAAGTGAGAGACATTCTTCTCTTGTGCCATCTGCTAAAATTCATTTTTGTGTTACTCGTCATTCAATTCAGTCTCATTCTTTTATTGTGACTATTCCTAAGTGCTCCAAAAATTCTTACTCATCTAGTTTTTTACCTCAAACATCTTTTTTTGGAATTGCTTCCTTTATCTTGTTTTTATGAATCAAAAAATGTCAAAAAAATTATAGTTTTTATGCAATTAAATCTATAATATTTTTTTATAAAATGTTAAAATAAATAATATTTTTGAAAACTTTATTGTATATAGTTATATATATAAAATAACAATATAAAAGTTTAACATGATAAAGGTTATTTTGAATTTATATAGAATACTTCGTTTCGAAAATACAAAGAGATTATTGATGGACTAGTAGAGGAGCTCCATCATTTTAAGGGAAGAGCCATCTGGAAAAGTACTACAGCTATTCATCAGCAAGATAAGTCTGGTAATGAAGTTATGGGAGCATTTAGAAGATATCTTACAAACCAGGTATATGTGCTTATTTTTTTTTTAAATGAACAAAAATTTATTAAATTAATTTTAAAAGAGTTTAAAAAGGTTTTCATTCTATTTAGAATGTAATTACAATTACTTTACCAGATACCAATGAAATTAGCAGAGGTCATATTTAGATCTGACAAAATAAATTTTTTGTCATGGCCTTAATGTATGGCATATGTTCCTATCCAAGTCAAGTCTAATGAAAATTTAAACAAAAAAATATTTTCTATAAATTTAACTATATTTATATAAAATATAATTACAGAAAGTTGTATTTAATAATAATAATGATAATGATAAAAATAATAATAGTAATAATAATAATAAATAGTTTACACTAATAATAGTTAATTTAATTTATGTAGTTTTTGATATATTTTTGATATTTTTAAAATGCTTTAAAAATGTTCCAACAAACTTCAGTTTTAAGGCTAGTTTGAACAAATAATTTGAAACATAATATGAAATTATAAAATACTGCATGTTTAATAATAATAAACTTTTACGTAAAACTGCATAACTGGATAAGGCAGAACTGTTTGCAAAGAACTTTTCTTCTAATTCCACTCTTGAATCTTATGGACATTCTCTTGCTTACATTCCAGTCAAACAGGTTGACCCATTGTTAGACATTCAAATCACAAATTTAATTTTAGTCAAATAAACTACTGTCAGACAATCAATACGATTTTCGATCCTCTCGCTCTACGGCCGACTTGATAACTGCTGTAACTGAAAGATTTTATCGTGCATTAGATAGAGGCGGTGAGGCTAGGGCTATTGCTCTCGACATATCTAAAGCTTTCGACAGAGTTTGGCATGCTGGTCTTCTCCATAAGCTTGCTTCATATGGTGTTTTTGAGATTATCAAATCATTTCTTTCTAACCGGTTTATTAAAGTCATCCTTGTAGGCCAACACTCTTCTTTATTTCCAGTAACTTCTGGGGTTCCCCAAGGTTCCATCCTGGGCCCTGTTTTGTTTCTTATCTACATAAACAATCTTCCTGACAACCTTTCATCTAAAGTAGCTCTTTTTGCTGATGACTCAACTTTATACTCCTGTCTTGACAAAAAGTCTTCTCTTTTCGATCGCCTAGAACAAGCAGCTGATCTTGAATCCGATCTCACTTCAGTAATAGATTGGGGTTCACAGTGACTTGTGAATTTCAACTCTAAAAAAACCCAGTTGCTTACTGCAAACAACTACCGTAATATGGTCAACATTCCTATATTAATGAAAGGCAATCCTCTTACTGAGTCGTCCTCTTTACGTCTTCTTGGATTATCGCTTACTACTGACCTTTCATGAAAACCATATATACAATCGATTGCTAAATTAGCTTCTGCTAAGGTTGCTTCTCTTTATAGTGCTCGCCATTTTCTTACTTCTGATTCCATTCTCTACCTCTACAAATCTCTTATTCGTCCCTGTATGGAATACTGTTGTCATATTTGGGTTGGTTCTTCTAACGATTCACTTTCTCTTCTTGACAAGGTCCAAAAACGCATTGTAAATGTTGTTGGACCTGGACTATCTGCTAAGCTTGAACCTCTTTCCCATCGTCGTAAAGTTGCATCTCTTTCTCTTTTCTACAGATACTATTATGGTCACTGCTCAAAGGAGTTATCATCTCTAGTTCCATCAACTAAAATTCATTCTCGTTTTACTCGTCATTCAGCTAAGTCTCATTCGTTTACTGTATCTGTCCCTGCATGCTCTAAAAACTTTTATTCATCTAGTTTTTTTCCCCGCACTTCAATCCTTTGGAACTCTCTCCCATCTTCATGTTTTCCTGACTCATACAACCTTCAACTTTTCAAGTCTTCTGTCAACCGTTTCCTTGCTCTATAACTCTGTTCTTTTTTTTTCCTAGTAACTCCCAACTTAATAGTGGTTGCTTGCAGCCTTGTTGGGAGTGTTTACATTTGTGTTTAAAAGATACATAAATTTAAACAAATTGCACTGCAGTAATCAGCACAGAAGTAACAGATGAATTCAGCAGCGTTGGAATCTATTCTGAACATGCCTCATGAACCCAAAAGGGAATACATAGACAAATGCATGCTTTTTTACTGTTTTCTAGATTTTTATATGTTTCCCTTCAATAATCTTGTCCTTTAATTAGCATTGACATTTTTTCGTGTGACTTTTGTAAGTTTTCCTTCCCACTTTCTAGGCCAGTTTTTTGTGACTTGACTTGGTGTCAAAATGTTGACATATTAGCTTGGTGTCAAAATGTTAACATATTGACTTGGCGTCAATATGCCAAACTCATAGTGTCAAAATGTTGAATAATAGCTGATTGCATTTAAATTCTTCCAAAATTTCTTGACATTTTTGCTTCACCTGCTGAGAAAGATTTGAAAATTCCTCAAGTTGAAGGTTTGATATGTATTATCTGTTTCTGCATCTGAATGAAGGCATTATATTATTCATTATTTAATAACATTTTATTATTATATAATGAATAATTATAACAATTTAATAACAAAAAGTAATCTATGAGCATTAATAGGAGAAATATAATTGATGTCTAAAAACACCTGTTACCCAAATGTTCCAACTAACCCTAATCACAATTTTCCAACATACTTTTATTTAACCAGTGCATTCTTAAACATTTGAATTCCGGAACCCACAAAATGCACAAAGCTTTGTAAAAAGCATGCTAAAAAACTTGTCAAGTTCTAATTGTCATCTAAATATTTTATTAAAATGCAAGATGAATAATAGAAAAATTGCAAAAAATTTGTATAAAATTCTCCAGAATCTTGAGCAAAAACTCAATTTATTTATTTAAGATTGTCACAATTTATTTTGTTAAACAACAAAATAAGATATAGTTTAGGTCTTCAAACAAGTTCTTGATTTTTTTTTTTAATTAAATTTTAAACATAATATTCAAGTTTTTTAGTTTCTAATGATTTAAAAAAAAAAAAATTGAATAAAAATTTAATTCTCTAGTACAGTTGGTTCCTTAGGAGGTGTGCTCTAGTGCGGAGATTTAGGGTATTTTTTGTAAAGATTTTGTAGGAGAAATTTGAGCTGGAGCATCAAAGATCAAAAAAAGATTTCTTTTACAAAAGGTAGAAGAAATCATCCTTTCTTTCTGCTCGGTGTTGTTAAGGCGATTTACAAGTTATTTGAATTCTTTTATTTGGAATTAGCATGGTTTTATTTGTGTATTATGTCTAAACAAGAGCTTTAAATAGTATAATTTTTTTTTGCTTTAGGTTTTTTTTAATATTTAGAGAAACTTTTATTTTTTTTTATATAGTTTTCGAAACCTTTTTACTACCCATAATAGTGAATCTAAAAACACCAATTTGGAGTTTTTAGATCAATTCCGCTCATCGACATTAACATAAATTTAGTTAAAATCTTTTGAAAATGTTCCTTAATATACTATTGATCCTAGTTCTAATCGGTTCTGACGTATATTAACTAAATATAGTTGTCAAAACACAATATTTCTACAATTTTCACAAAAAATACTAGATCTCTGACCAAGGAAGACCTTATAATTAAAAAAAATTGCCAATAAACAATCAGAGCAGATCATATTGTTAAACTAAAATGTTCATTTCACCTAAAAAACGTATTTATTTAAAATCTTATTAAAATTTGGACAAGCGATTGTGATTTTAAGGAGATTTTAAAAAAAAAAAAAAGAATCTTTGGTTTGGTTTTTTTCACTATAAACATTTTTTATAATACCGTCAAATTTTTAATTTTGAGTTTTTTCGTCTTTTCATAATTCACTGACCTGATCATTTAACGGAAATATGTCGTAGTCAACAAAATATCATACTGACGCTATAATATTTTAAAATTGCTTTAACTACACCTAGTAGCCTGTTATGAAATTTTTTTTTAGATCCAGTTAAGTTTCTACAATATGCGTACATTATTATTATTTAAGATTGCAAGATCTGCATACTGCAAACTAATCTATTAAAAATATTTTTATTGATGAGTTACTTAATGTGTTTGTTAATGTGTTTGTTAATGCTAAAATTTACTTATTTTAGAGAGTTCAGTTATTTAACGCCTATGCGAATGCGGCCATTTGCAATGCTGATCATGACTTACTAGATATACATCCTTTAACTGCTTCATATCCTGGTGGAACAAAGGACGGCGTCCATTATCTTCCAAATGCTTCTGTACCCATTGAAAATCTACTTAATGAGTATTTTAGCAAATAAATATTTGTAAGTTTTCATTGAGGTTCTTAGTGATGTGGAAGATAAATGTCCGAGACAATAGGTAAAGAAGTTTTCAACAGAAAAAAGCAGCCAATAGCTGGGTATGAATTTTGTTAAAGTTCTCATACATGACTCATGATAAAGAGATCTCATAGAATTAATAAAGAAGCCTATTAAGTTTCAATGTCTACACATTTCAATTGTTATATGTAAAACATTACTGAAAATTGCTTAGCGATTGAGTATTTTAAAGTTACTTAGAAATATGGGAAATAAATATTGGACAGATATAAAAGTTATTATCCGGAAGAAAAAACAATCGATATGTGGTAATAAACTTGTTTTCTAGCTTGACTTGTGATGAAGAAATTTCACACTCCTTCACTTAGAACAAACATAAATAGTATGTATAACAGATAGCTACATTGATTAAAAAAGATTATCAATAACTTATCTGAAAACGTTGACCATTTTTTATAATTTTTGTGATATTATAGTTGGAATTCGGGTTAAACAAAACAATTTAAAATTTTAATCTATTATTTTAAAATGAAAATATATCTTTTAACATAATAATAGATTAACTTCGTGTACTTTACATATTTAAACCTTATATATTGCTAAGACTACTTACAACTCTTCAGACAAAATTAAAAACCTTTGTAAACAAATTTTTTCAAACAGATACAAAGATTTGTAATTTTGCAATTATTATAATTCTAATAAAAAGTAATAAAGAAATAACTTTTTTAACCGGAATATTTATTGGTTCTTTATCTATTTTTAATTTTTTCCGCTTGATCTTTATTCACTGAATCTGTAGTTTCTTTTTGGAAATTTTTATTAAAAAATATAGTCATAACGATTTTCAAATTTGGTTTCTTACTTTTGGTGGTTGTCTCAAGTAAAATCAACATTGCTATAATAAATCTTTATGAAACCGAATCTTTATTAAAACGCAGTAGTTAAACAGAGTTAGTTTAAACGTTAGTTAATGCTGCTTTTCTTGTTTATTATTATAACACATTTGATTAAAACGATTTTTGAAAAGTTAAAAATTATTTTCTAAATAATTAAAGATTGAAAACTCATTAATGGTCGTTCATAAACTACGTCACGCTATTTGGGGTGGGGGGGTTAAACTAACAGTTACACTTGAGTTCCATGTTATAACAGTTGTTCAGCATTGGGAATTATTTCAACTGTTTAACTAAAGTATAATTTTATTTCTGGTCTTCTTTTTATCTGAGATTTCTATCTCTAATTTGAGTTATTTCATCTCCCACTCCAATTGTTTTATGAATTCTATTTACAGCTTCTTTTCTTTCTTCTGCATTTTTTTAATTTTAAAAGCTATACTGCAAAGCACAGTCTGTACAACTAATTCAGAATGTGCATACCACACTGATTGCTTAATTATTGGCATAACAATATCTAAAACACTTTTACTCTGAGTTTTATTTGATTCTAGTCAATAAAAGACATTTCTAGATCCCTCAACCGAACTTGATTTAACTTTAACACCAGCCGGCACAACTCAGATAAAAGTTACGCACGGTCTCTGTTGCGTAACTTTTATCTGAGTTTAGTATTTTATACATAAAATTTGCGTGTAAATATTACGTCACGTAACATTCGACAGTTTTTCACACCTTCCCTCCCTTCCCCCGCCTCCCTTATCACAACTTTGTAACTCTTTAATTACAAGTTCCGTATGAATCGTCACAGAACACAAACCCCACCCTCCACTCTCCTAGAGCGTAATTTATGGACGATTCCTAACACAAAAAGAATGACACTTGTCAAATAGAGAATGTGAAACCAGTGATAAAAGCGCACGACATTTAAATTTGGCTTTAAAACCTCAAAAAACGCTTTGTTAAACTCGAATAAAACTGACCGTGAAATAATGGGGGGGGGCTATAGCCCAGGGCCCCGGGGCACTGGCCCATAAAAAGGCCTCCAAAAACAAAAATAGCCCCAGGTCCCAAGAAATCTTAATCCGCCACTGCCAGTAAAGTATATAAACTCTAACAATAAAATTCACAATTGTTCTTAGATTCTCTAGGTTTTCATTTGATATCCAAATTCTGCAATCAAAATATTTAAAAAAAAAAAAAAAAAAACATTAAAAATTGATTACAAAAATTATAATATTTACTTTAAAATACAAATACCGGAAGATTCTTAATTATTCTTCAATTGTCCTCCGTCCGTTATTTGCTTTTAAAATCTTTTAGAAAAGTTGCATAATTAATTTTATAAAAAAGTTCAAAATACTTTAGTTTTTTTTTTATCAAAATCTATTAGGACTTAGACTAATAATGAATTTTAACTTTTAAAAGTTTTATTTTATTTCGTTTTCTTTAAAAAAATATCAAAATTTTTTTTGGTGACTTCATTTGATTTAGTTTTATAATAAATTTATTATTTTTTGAATATAGAAATAATTTTTATCTTATGTTATAAGATAAAAATTATAAGTTATGAATAAAAAATTATGAGTAAAAAATAATCATGTCTCATAAAACTTTAATTTCGAGAAAAAGGTTGCCTTTTTTTTTTATTTGCAACAAGGCTGCAAGCAACCACTATCAAGCTGTATGCACTATGCAGCCGTGGCGCAGTGGTAGCACACTTGCCTCAGAAACGTAAGATCTGTGGTTCAAACCCCACCTCTGGGCAAGTTTTGCGACATCGGTTGGGAAAGAGGCGTGAACTTCCTATTAAATGCTCTTCCGCGGTGCTCTGTGATAAGACCGTAAGGACTTCTTGGGGCACCTAAAATCAACATAAAAAAAAAAATAATAAAAAAAATAAAAAAAATAAAAACTATCAAGTTGGGAGTTACTAGGAAAAAAAAGAACAGAGTTATAGAGCAAGGAAACGGTTGACAGAAGACTTGAAAAGTTGAAGGTTGTATGAGTCAGGAAAACATGAAGATGGGAGAGAGTTCCAAAAGATTGAAGTGCTGGGAAAAAAACTAGATGAATAAAAGTTTTTAGAGCATGCAGGGACAGATACAGTAAACGAATGAGACTTAGCTGAATGATGAGTAAAACGAGAATGAATTTTAGTTGATGGAACTAGAGATGATAACTCCTTTGAGCAGTGACCATGATAGTATCTGTAGAAAAGAGAAAGAGATGCAACTTTACGACGATGGGAAAGAGGTTCAAGCTTAGCAGATAGTCCAGGTCCAACAACATTTACAATGCGTTTTTGGACCTTGTCAAGAAGAGAAAGTGAATCGTTAGAAGAACCAGCCCAAATATGACAACAGTATTCCATACAGGGACGAATAAGAGATTTGTAGAGGTAGAGAATGGAATCAGAAGTAAGAAAATGGCGAGCACTATAAAGAGAAGCAACCTTAGCAGAAGCTAATTTAGCAATCGATTGTATATATGGTTTTCATGAAAGGTCAGTAGTAAGCGATAATCCAAGAAGACGTAAAGAGGACGACTCAGTAAGAGGATTGCCTTTCATTAATATAGGAATGTTGACCATATTACGGTAGTTGTTTGCAGTAAGCAACTGGGTTTTTTTAGAGTTGAAATTCACAAGCCACTGTGAACCCCAATCTATTACTGAAGTGAGATCGGATTCAAGATCAGCTGCTTGTTCTAGGCGATCGAAAAGAGAAGACTTTTGTCAAGACAGGAGTATAAAGTTGAGTCATCAGCAAAAAGAGCTACTTTAGATGAAAGGTTGTCAGGAAGATCGTTTACGTAGATAAGAAACAAAACAGGGCCCAGGATGCCTTGCTATGAATGCGGTAAAAAAAACCATAACCATTTTCATAAACTTGAAAAAATAAAAAAATTTAAGAGCATTGAAAGATTGTAAGCATTGTAAACGAATATATAAATTTAAAATCATAAATGATAAGAATCCTCTGAGATGAGCGAATTAGCATTAAACCTTTTTTCTTTTCAGGGTTAAAATTACTTCAATTATTGTTTTAAACTTTATGAAACAGCATAAAATGCCATAGTTGTATCCAAACACATGGGTTGCATGTGTTGAATTTTGCTAACAGTATCTAACTGTAGAGAGTGGAGAAAAAAGTTTTTCAAAAATGAAATTATTCATTTTTGAAAAACCTATTTACGATCAACAATTTCGCAAGATATGTATATATAATATTGTGTAAATATTTTCATGTAAATAATTTTTTTATTTTATTTTGTGTGTAAATTAAACATTTCATAGCAATGTATTATTTTTTGATATAACATTTTTTTTTTTTTTTTTTTGTGGTTATTAAGGTGCTAACAAAAGTCTTTACGGTCTTATCACAGGCTCCGCGGAAGAGCATTTAACCAGGAATTTTACGCCTCTTCCCTAATCAATGTCGCCTACTTAAACTTGATTTTTTCTTAGTTGTTTGTCTAGGTTAAAAGAGGCTTTTCCATAAAAGGGATCTTTCATAATGTACGTACGCAAGTACAGGAGAAAAAAAAAGTCCTTATACTATAGCTTCAGTTTTATAATTCCTGCAAATTATATCACTCACATCAAGTTTCACAATTCTAACTGAACTATATTCCATATTTTTCATGAATATCTCAACCTTTAGAACCATTACATTTGTTTCAATTTATTACACCCTAATCAGGCCCCCGATAATTTTTTTTTTAGTCATTTTTTTAGTCAATTTGTTCAAAATTATTTATTTAAAAATTATTTGGGAGGCCCAATAAATTTGGCCCTGCTGCCCCCCCCCCCCCCGGTTGTTATGGGCCTGCTAATTCTTTTTTAAAAACTTTTCTGTTGATAACATAATGCCGCCATTACTAAAGTCATTCTCGGTAAAGAAATTATCATTAATAATGTACACCGGTGATCGTTTGAACTTTAAAAAAAAGTTTAAATCGATAAGTTAATGCTTTTAAATGGTTAATATAATCTCTAATGAAGTAGTGGAACTATATTAACCATTTGAAGTAAACTGATATTTAAACGATTTCGTAATCACAAACATCTTTTCTGTAAAAAAAAATTCGTTTTAAAAACAAATTTTTTGAACAACCGAGATCAGAGATAATACGATGAAAAGCAAATAAGATCAGAGATAATAGATATGATGGGAAATTTATTTTTATCAGTTAAAAAATTTGCCGATTGATTAAATCTAGTTGGTCTATTTATTAGAGGAATTCCTGTGTTTATAATTAAGAAGCAAGTCTAAAATATTGTTTTAACATATTCAAACCAATTTAAGTTCAAATCACCTAAAACATAATTTTCATTTTCTCGATGATTTTTTTTATTTGAAGCGCCATATTAAGAATGTCTTGGTGGAAAATGAGCTAACGACTAGCCAGCGAATAGCTAGCTAGTCGCTACCATAGGTTAGAAAACGCGTTTAAGACGTATAAAATACGTAGTAATACTTGTTTTAAACGTTTTAAACACGTCATTTGTTATTTAGTTTTTTTTTTCCACCAGGGTGCTA